GATGTGTCACTATCAGGATCTTCAGAAACCGCAATACGTGAACCATAAAGCTTGAACCCTCTAGCCGCCATCGTAGAGACAACCTCCCTGAAGCTTCAGCTGCAGCTAAACCTTAGCCAGCCCAGGGCCACGGCCCAGCTGGCAAGGCCCTTCTCTCTGTCCTGCACTGAGGGTCTTGGGAGTAGGCTTCCAGTATGGATATCGCACCTATGTGCGCGACAGCAGAGCTCCGTGATATCGCAAAACTCGCAAACCTTGCTGTGGAGCAAACCCGTTCCGCCCACAGCTTGGATCCTGGAAGAACCACCTTTGGTGCTTCGTGCTCCAGGCGACGGCCCATCCTGAAGCCAAGTGAACTGGATTGGAACTCTCGCTAAAGCACCGGTTGCTACTGCTACTCGTCTTTCTCCAGCACCGTTGCGCTTTTCTGTGCTGCGCACCGGTGCCGGACATGTTGCCGCAGTGCAGGGGCGCGACCAGACTACCTGGGCATCCTGTTGCTGTGCTGTGGCAGCTTGGTCAGGGAGCTCGTTACCGCTTGACTGCTTGATTCAAGAATGCTGAGATGCTCGTAGGAGACCGTTTGGGACCGCTTCGGTGCTGGCTGCGCTGTGTTCTTCCTATGCTTTAAGCCCTGGCGGAGACGGCGACGATTGCTGACTGGTGGACTGCTAATAATAGGTTGCGCCTTCCTCCCGATGCGACCACTCTAGTTGAAGGCAGTTTCTTGCTGGACGATTTCTCGTGTGCTGCAGAGGCAAACCTGTTGCTCCGCAGGGCTGCTTCAGATACATCCCAACATCACTTTGGAACACTATGCGAAGCCCAGGGGCAGCAGGGAGTTCTGGAGAGCAGACGCTTTACGTGGTGCTCTCAGAACTCAGCCAAGCAGGCTGCTTAACGAATAAAGGCAACACCAAGGGAAGGCTGCAGCATCTATACGTTCCGGGTGCTGTTTTCGATGGGGCAGAATGAATGTCACTACAATGCTCCGCCGTTCCCAAGGCCGTGCTCGTTAGCAACGCCGCCAGAGTCCCGCACCCCCTCACTGCATCAGACGATCACAAATAGTCACGACAACGCGTAAGGCCCCGTGATCTCGATCTCCTAAACACTGGCGCCAAAAGGATGCTGTAAGGTGAGAGCAGAGTTTGGCAGCAGCCTTCAAGCTTCAAGAGCCCTCGGCTCCAGCATTAGCGCAGCACCGACACTCTCACTTCAGGCTGGTCAACTCCTCAGGAGAGAAGAGAAAAAAGGGACCCTCAGAAGTAGGTGTTTTTTTTAGGGTTTAGGGTTTAGGGTTTAGGGTTCAGAAGTAGGGTTTAGGGTTTATAGGGTTTAGGGCTCACGTTTTAAGGTTTTTTTGGGGTTTAAAAGGGGGCCTTCCGAAGGCTCGCCCCGGCCTGTAGGCTAAAGCCGCATCTCCCGCAAAGGGCACCTCAAGGTAACAGATCCTTTCCTTCTTCGAAAGCTTCCTGTCAAGTTGATTTTTGAAACTTATACAGAGGATCCACTATTCTAGTGGCGTTCCGATGGGAAGGCTGAAAGTGTTGATCATGTCGACGGAACCCTAAACCAACCTCAAACCCCTGACTTTCTCGGCACTTAAACCCTCAACCTTAAGGTTTTTCAGATTAGGGTTTAGGGTTTAGGGTTTGGGGTTTACCCTCTGCCAGCAGCTCCTCAGTGGCCTTGTCCCAGGTTGCCCGGGTCCTTTGGGTCACAGCTGGAGGCTGCTTCGCGTATCGCCGGGAATCATTGCAAACACACTGCACGAACATGTCTGAATGGTATATGTATATGAATGTGCTTACTAGCTAACTTTTCAGTTCACTTGTACATATATCTTGGTTTTCCACATATTCAATGAGCTGGTAATAGCTGATATATATATATATATATATATACAAACTTCTCACTTCTACACATCTATTTTGCGGGCACATCTACCTGCATGCGCGCTTTAATCCCAACTGCAGAATAGACAAGTGCATCATTGCCTGCATGCGTGTACATACACATGTACGTATGCACGTCTGCATGCAGACAGGCAGGCCGGCAGGAGCTAGCCAGATGGGCAGATTGACAGATAGATAGATAGATAGATAGATAGATAGATCGATAGATCGATAGATCGATAGATAAATAGATAGATTCATCCGCAAGTGGAAGTCGGGACTTATGTTGATTTACAATCGGGAACCCCTTGGAACCGCTGGTCAGATAAGTCGGGACAGAAGTCGGGACAAATGGCATTCTGCAAGTAACTGCGTACGCAGAGCGCGGAAAGATCGACGGCACATGAGCTCAATTTGCACCAAACCCCACAGCTGTAGATAAGCTCATTTTTGACCTGTTTCCAAGCACAATTTCCTTGAAACACCATGGTAGCGTGACCTTCTGGCACTGTTGCCGGGGGAATGAGTTAACGCACACCAGGGCGACGACACACAAATCATCCGCATGTGGAAACTGATTCAAAGCAGCTACAATAGCAACCGCTATGCAGACGCAGAGCTTGGATTTCCGAAGTTGGCTGCTCACCGAATCACTCCGGAATCCAAGTTCCGAGCATTCCGAAGCTTTCACCGCCCGAATAAGGCCGAAATCCACGTGCCGAGCGTTGACTTCCATAAAAACCTATTCAACCTGTATATTTCTCTGAAGAACTGATTCAGTCGTTGCATTCGTTGGGTTTGGTGCTTTCCCCGAAGGTGACACATGCCACGACCGGGCGCGGCAAAGTCCTCGCATTTGCTCCGTTCTGCAAGTAGACGCCGCCGCCAAAGTGGTTGCAAAAAACATATTCCAGACAGCGGTTTCGTCAGTTCCACAAGTAGACGCCGTCGCAGAAGGTGTTTAAGAAGCACTCCGCAGGTAGACGTCGCTGCTAAGATGGTTACAAAACACATCTATTTCAGACAGCCTATTCGTCAGTTCCGCAAGTAGACGCCGTCGCCGACATGTTACAAAGCCCATAGCCATAGCACAGGAGCACGATTTTGTCCGTTCTCATGAGGCCGCCTCCGCCGAAGTGGTTACAAAACACAAACTCCAGATAGCAGTTTTGCCAGTTCCGCAAGTAGACGCCGTCGCAGAAGTTGCTCCAATGCTCCAAAGCACATAGCACAGGCAGGGATTTGTCCGTTCTTCAAGTCGACACCACGGCCAAAGTGGCTATAATATTATAAAGCGCGTAAAAACAGATAAATTCCAGACAAATCGATGCCACCGCCTGGAGAAGACCAAACTTCAGCTGTTGCAAGGGCCTCCGGACTCTGGAGGTTACACAATGCACTCTGTTTTCGTCAACCCCTTTACGTCCGTGCAGGCTTTGACAGTGACAAAGCGCGCCGCTCTATTGGCGGGGACCCAAGAAACTCAAAAATGTGTATCCTTCGTGGACCCGGAACGAATCGAAACCCTGAACAATACCCCCTCTGTGGCTTGGAAGCCCATAGCCCACCCGACCCTCGAGCCAACGAAGCCAAAATGGCACGAGCAGCAGATGGCGCATCCCGAAGTTAACACTTAAACGGTGGGAGTGAAGCCCAAATGGCTCACGAGAAGCAGGCTGCGAATCCCAAGGTAACGCGTAAACGGTTCGAGAGAAGCTTAACTTAACCATCTCACGACGAATCCCGAAGGTGACGCTTAACTGGTTGGAGAGAAGCGAAGATGGCTCACGAGAAACAGACTGCGAGTCCCGAATGCGACGCTCAAACGCAACGACCCCCCGAAGGTCTGGCGTGGGCACCAAATCAGTCCGAGCCAAGATGGCTCTTCAAGGCTAGCATACTCCCCAAGTCCCCAAGTGTGGACAAAGCAACTTGAGATCATGCCTTAAACACCATGTAGCGGCAACAAGTACCGACTTCTTCACGGGCTTCCCCCCATGTACTGCCGCGAGTCAACCAAACAAATACCGACTTCCACTGCCGGGAGTAGATAGAGAGTTAGTTATAGATAGAATGGATAGATAGATCAATCGATCGATAGATCGATCGATAGACAGATCTACGCGATTTCTCTGCGCTGAGACAACGGGTTCCTGAAATCCTCACAGAGCGTCCCATCCTGAAATTACGGCCCGGGCAGCGGCGTCTTCCGAGGCCCCTGCACACTCAGGAAGCCCCTAGCATCCGACTCCGCCATCCCTGCAAAGACTTGCTGGGCCTGGGATGGGCGGAGGACGTTTCCAGCTCTGAAACTTCCATGGCCCTAAAAGAGCCCGCATGACAGCCACTTCTGGATAGACATGCTCAAGATAATGTTGCACCTGCATCAGGAACATGCATGATGTGGCTGCAGATTCCCGCTTTCCAGCCAACACGCTTTAAGTCCTACAGTAGCATCTTCCTCAGACCACTCACGCCGAGCACGGTCAGCACCAGCGTCAGATGCAGTGCTGAAGAGCTTAAGGACTACGTCAAGATACACGCATCGACAGTCTCCCCACAAGCCCAAGCACAAAGCAAGCAAAGCCCTGGAAGCGAAGCTCCGGTGAACTTCACGCCTCTGACTTCGGCAGCGCGCGCAGACGGCCGCAAAGAAGGCCCTGCGGCAGAGGCACAGAGCTTGAAGTACTCAGGGACTCAGGGTTGCAGGCAGAAGCACGTACATAACACGTCACGTGGAAGATGTTGGCGAGAAGCACTTCCGCAATGGTTGTAAGCAATTAGAGTAGAGCTTATCGCTCGTCCTCGTCGACAATTCTGTCACTGCCGTCACTTTGCAGGATCAGCTCCACTTCGGACGGAAAAAAGGCTGTCAGTGATCCGATTGGAGGGCACACTAGCACTGGAGCCTGCAATATTGTGCACCCGCAAACCCTCCAAAGAGATCTGTGAATCCGGAGATTTAGGCACCTGCAGGCCCTAAGCTCTGAAGTTGCTCCAATGGGTTTAGGGTTTAGGGTTTAGGGTGGTCCAAAGGGAGCCGGAAGGAGAACCCTAAACCATCCTAAACCCTAAACCCAACGTTCTGGGCCGGGACTTCGCCTCAAATCCCGGCCAGTTCAGCCTTCCGTCCTCCGAGAACTCCTCAAAGGCCTGGCCCATCCAGCTTCCCAATCTAGATGTCTACATTCATATGTGCATATATATATATATATATATGTATATATATATATATACTGATATTGATATATGTATATGTATATGTATATGTATATGTATATGTATATGTATATGTATATGTATATGTATATGTACATGTATATATATATATACATACTTGTGTACAGTTGAATCAATATCTGGATCTAGATCTCTATATAGTTCTCCTGACGACCTACTCACCGAATCAAGAAGAACGTTATTTAACTACTGGTTAGAACTCATGAGAATATTCCACATGAGAAAAACAGGTAATAAAGACGTTGCTAGATTCATTTAACAAGGGTCTCAATAACCATGGTTACCATGATGCTATTGATATGACATGAGAGCTCTTGGAGTAAGCTGACCATTGCTGCCACTTTCACGGGCCTTTTAGCACAGTACACAGCGTGTCGCAGAGTGAGGCCCCGGTGTCAATACCGAACACTGGGCACCTAGAAGGGGTGGCAGGCAAACACCAGCCCGATACATGGTAATCCTGCTGGGACTTATCTCGCTGAAATAAGCTATCCAACGCGGCCACAATGCTGCACACCAAACTTGCGAAACTAAACTTTGCAAAAACATGTGGTCGGAAGAGCAGGCGCCCGACAAGGCGAAATTTTGCCGCTAGAAGCTGTAACTCAAATGATGGTAAACAAGAAACATCATCGGCTAAATCTAGCAAATGCAAGCTGTTCTGGTCACACTGCCGTTAAATGTGCGTAAAGGTTTTTTCGAATTCTTAGAGGCTATGCAATAATCTAGTAACAGGATGAGAGGCATGCTGAGACATGGTTTGCAAAGCGCTTAAGTACTATCTTGAACGTCCAGAGTCCAGAGCAAAGACGCGATCTAACCAGAGAGGATGCCTGCCTGCATCAAGAAGACTACAAATGCACACCTTGACCCAGGCACGTCTTTTCTCAATGCGAGGCAGAAGAAGCTCTGGTCTTCTCAAGGGGCAAGGCATCTCTGAATAACAGTCAAAATGGCCATGTCTCAGCCAGACGCCAGACCTAGAACCTCAAAGTGGCACCATTCCGCAGCCTACTTCGATGACAGTTGAGACATGTGAACTCTATCAACCCTAGTCGCTGGTCTGGATTCGACCGGCCCTAGTCAAAGCCCTCTGTAGTGTTCCAGGGTCTGCCATTCGGCAGCCTGGTGGTCTTTGAGTCCTCGCGGCATGAAATACTTCCGTCTCAATACCCTCTTCCTTCATCCACGATGCCATCCTGTGTCATGTTGGCGAAGACAAGAATGGTACTATTCAAGCCTTCGTCACGGAGGACTGTCCTACAGTGGGCAGTTGGGAGGAGGGGTCGCCCATGTGCGGATGCACGGTGACTTGCATCCGACGGAACACGATCAAAACCAGCAACGCTTGTCGAATGCCTGGTTCGCTGTGCCACAACTGATGAAGCAAAGTCTAGAGTGAAGACATGTCTAGACCGTCAACTGCAGGTTGAAAATGCGTGTCTTCCCGAGGCGGCAAGCTGGCACAAGACAACTCACCTGTTTCACTTTGTGTGTCAGGTGAGCGTGCGTGCTGAACTCATCATGCATGGTGCCTACATTTCCCAACCTTGCTGGCAGTACTGCTCAAGTCCTGTGAGGACGGGATTGTACGCACCATCACATGGAAACAAAAATGCAAAATCCTGCTGCCAGCCGTTGAAACCCCTCAGCTGCAGCGTAGTAGCCCGGAGGATGCGGGTTTGCGGTCACTGATATCTTCAGTGCTCAGCCGAAAAGACATGGATCATCGCAGGTAGAAGGAAAGTCTCTTCGACGGAAAGCCTCTACATGACATAGTTGCAACTGGCTCTGCCAGTGATGTCATTCAGGCAAGATACTGGCTGCAGCCACTCGTGTGAGATTTGCTGCTGCCTATCGACAACTGAACTGAAGACTAAGCTCCTACGACCCCGAAGGTGATGAGATCGACTGGTCGAACCAGTGCGGGCTCCCAGCTGACGCACCTTAGACTCTACCCACAAGGAGACAGGAAATCGACGCATGTGATGTATGACCCGGGGTTGAACTCCCGTCCGCGCCCTCCCTCCCAGGGGGTGCTACTTAGCAGGCCCTTCGCGCCTGCGCAAACCCCTTTCATGTGGTGCGATTTTGGTCGCTACCTAGTGGACTCCTGTGCTGCGGGTTGGCGTTTGCTATCTGCCATATCGGGCGTGTGGGGCCTCGTGACGGTTGTCGTTTTGCAGTACCAACTACAAACGTTGCTGGAGTCTCACCTCTTCGTCGCTTGTGCCGAGCGACACATGCCATCAGAATCGGGCATGTGCCGAGCGACACATCCAGCTATCCTGGTGACAGCTGAGGAGCAGCCGCCATCTTTGTTAACAATTGCTGTTGTCGGAGCACCACATTTTCGTCGCCTGTGCGACATGAAACTGGCAGGAATCGGACATGTTGAGGCGTCGATTTTCGTGACAGCTGCCAGTTTGTGGCATCAACATCTTCGCGATGTGCCCTGCGGGACCATCGTCGTGTGGACCACCCAAACGAAATCCGAGGAACCCAAAAACCATTTGGCATGTTCGACGACGCTCTCGTTCACTCTTGCCCTTCATCCAGAATTGATTTCTTCACAGCCCGCAGCATGCGGAAGATGAATGTAACCAACACGAGGGTGGTGATGCTCATGGCGTCGATGATGATGATGATGATGATGACGATGATGATGATGATGGTGATGGTGAATACTATCATTGTTATTCTGATGGTCATGGCATCCATGCTGCCATTGCTACTGTCTATTGGTTGCCGTGACTTCGGTGGCCTGACTGCAGTGTGATGTTGATGAGGACTCCTCTGACCTAAACCACAAACTAATTCAACACCTACAACCCCTGAACACGAAAACGAATCGAACCTGCTGAACAAATGCGGCATACTGTCCGTACTTCCCATAGTTTGGGTATTGAAGGTAGTGCAGGATGTTTCCATCAGCAGTATCTTGCTTATCCGTACAAAGCCTTGACGAACCGTTCAGGCCCAGAAAGCAGCAGAACAATACCTCTAAACCCCCGTGAAGGATAACCTAATCTAGAAAAACTGACCTTTAGAACCAGGCCTAAACTTCACCCTATCAACCCTAAACCTTAACCCCCACCTACCTAGAGTCTCCATTGTAGTTCTTTTGGGGGATACCTTGCAAAATCCATGATACATATATATATATACCTAGAGACCCCTAAACCCTTATAAAAGTAGGTCGGGGTTTAGGAACTGCGTTCTTGAGACCATTTGGAAAAGAACTGCGTTCTTACCTAAAAAACCCGATTCTCTCCACATCTGGTAGATACATATATATTACGAGATTGTAGGAGAGGTCGTGTAAATTATACTGATATCCCTTCTGGCCCCACTGGAAGCCTCGGCAGGTTCGACTTCGCCGTGACATTCTTCGGCTCAGGGCTGGGTTAGGGCTTTGTGGTTGATCTATGATATAGTTGCTGTAAGGCTCTGGTCTTCGAAAAGGTTGCTAGAAGTCTTGTTTCAGATATGATACAGAATTGTATGCAGGGTTGAGTCTACAAGGGATTGTTACCGAAACGCCATAGTCACCCCAAGTTCCTTCAACCGAAAACAGAATCAATTCCACGTCGCTTGAGTGCAGAGCGCACATGGCTTTTCGCTTGCGAGCATCACGAGAAGATGCCGCTAGTCTGAGGCCCAGCTCAGCGTGATGCATCAGTCCTTCAGAGGCAGTCGTCAAGCTAGGAATGTTGCTAGTGCCGTGTGTGCGTGTGTGTGTGTGTTTGTGAATGTGAACCGTGCTTTTGTCGTGATCTGCTCAAGAAAGCCTTTATAGCTGTGTATGTGTGTGTGGTGTTTCAACACCATGGAGCCGGAGCCGGAGTCTACTAGTGCTGTGCAGCTTGAGGGCCTTGCCCTGGAGTGGGACTCCAGCCCTGAACTTCGAGAAGTCATGCGGGCAGGCTACGCACTGTTTGCCGAGGCTTCTGAAAAGAACGTGGACAAGAAAACGCCAATCAAGAATGCAGCAGTGCTGCTTCCTTTGTTGTCCCGCATGCAGGCTGCCAACAAGGCTTTGCCGAACATCGAGGATGTTCGAACCGAGGTCAGAGCCTTCTATGGCATGTGCAAGCGGGAGTACAATGAGATTGATGACGTTCACCGTGCTGGATGGTTGATTCGAAAAAACTTGGTATACATGAAGATGAAATGCAGAAGGAAAGAATTTTCGAATGTGTCTCGCTTGCAAGACTTTCTGGAATCATGCACGGTGTACTTATGCTGATTAGGTGCTACATGTTTGCCATGAACTCAAGGACCCCAGCTTCCAGCAGCTCTGCTTGACTCTGTCGCCCGAACTCCAGGCCAGGAGTCATGCTGATGTTATGTATCAGTGGGTCTGTTGGATTCGTTTTTATGGTTTCTTCGTGTTTTCTTGTGCTGGTCTTGGAGTCTCCATTGTTATCATGTCATTTCGTTGGGAATGTCTTCGTGGGGGGCTGAGCCAATTCAGAAGTCTGGGTCAATTCATCTCGTTTGTCAGGAAGATGTGGATGCTTTCAATGAAAGAGCCCGCTCGCGAAGCAGCACGAGCTCTTCAGATGCTTGGGCTCATGTCGCCATGCTCCCGAGACTGATTTTTGCAAGTCGGCTTTGGGTTGAGTGGTGTTGCATATAGACCCCAGGATGCCGCTGTTATGGACGAAGATGAAGATGCTTACGAAGAAGGTGGCCCGGATGAAGCTGCTGGTGAAGCAGAGATTGATCCGGCGACTTTGCTAGATCGGTTTCGCTCCTTGACGGGCCAAGCGGACCCGACGGTGGGAAGCAGCGAGCCACCCGCTGCGGATGAGGAGTACCTGGGTGCAGATGCTGTTCCCGTGCCTTCCGATCAGCAGATGATGGAGCTGGAGGCTGAGGCGGCCCCGCCTCGTGCGGAGCAGCCTAGC